AAAGTCTTATTTGAATTCGAAAACCGTTAAATACCCCCCTGAAATGGCTATGGCACCAGTAAAACCGACCTTTCTCAACTTAGGAAAGGAAAGGGAAAAAACCGATACTAGGCATATTGAAGGGTGGTATGATAAATAGAATGAGACAAAATATTTGGCTCTATCGCTTACGTAGAAAAACTAGATACGTTTACAGAATCGACCCATAAATATCTCGTTCCACACGATTCCAAGCGCCACCACCAATAGAGTTTCGACTCTAGAGTCGATTTAACAACTCGTATATACTCAGTTTTTGATGCTGAATCTGAAAAAAATATTTTTAGAAGTCGAAAAAAAGAACAAAATAGAAAATATTGCATATTTTTAAGAAGATGTGTTTTTTCTCGAAAAATGACATCTTTTGAGTATTTCGTATTTTTCGACCGGAAGGAAGCATTTGCTAAGGCTAAAAAGTAGATTTTCGTGATCAGCAGCACTCGCTCTATCAAATGATGTAAAAAAAACGGCAAAAAGAATTTTTTACTCGAAATTCGCATTGCGGGCGCCTTAACCAATCAGTAATGGTAACTTCTATTGTCTATTTACAACTCATTCATCTATGACTAAACTACAATGGTTATTCAATTTTTTCTATTTCAGGTAAACATAGTCTCGATGTTTCTTTCTCAATAACCAGTCACATGTTCTTTTTTTTTTCTTTCTTCTCTATTGATATTAACAAAGATTGATGATGATGATAATGAGTCCGTATATCTTTGTCTTTTAATAGTGACTATATAAATAATAAATAATTATATTCAATCACCTTTTATTTTTTTTTAAGGTATTCGATGGCCCAATTACAAGTGACTGTTGTTGAAGGAAGAAATTTCAAAAAGCAAGATTGGTTTAGTGACAACGATCCTTTTGTTGAAATTTATCTAGATAATAAAAGTCAAAAACAAAAAACCAAAATAAAATATAATACAAAAACACCGCTGTGGAATGAAATATTTTTTTTGTAAAATTTTAGTTTTTTTTTTTCTCTTTTTTTCGTTTTTATCTTTTTGTTTTTATTTAGTAACCATTTACGAGGACAAAATATTCTTCATATTGACGTTTATGATAAAGATTTCTTTTGCAATGATAAAATTGGTTCAATAAAAATCAATTTAGAAGATTTATATGAACAAGGTTATTGTACTATGAATTCAATTTTTTCTTTTTTATAAATCAAATTGTTATCCTTTCTTTTTAGGCCATATTGATAATTGGTATTATCTTCAATCGCCGACTAGTATATCATCTGATGGTGAAATTCATCTTATACTTGATTATCAACCATTACAACCTTAAATTTTTTACCACTGAAGCTTTCTTTTTTTTTTTTAATTTTTAAATAGTTTATTCTAAATAAAAATTAATTCTTTTCATTGATGTTATATCGAACGACAAAGAAAAATAAAAAGATTGTTTTAAATTAACTCAAAAATTATTTTGATCATGTATGCAGAACATGAAAAGATTTGTAAGTACGTGGGACGTTCAAAAAGTTGCCAAATTGATTTTATTAAAAAAACAAAAGAACAAGAAATACTACTACATTAGTATTCTTATATATGTGTCAGGCAAATTTGGTATTCAGGCAGAATTGAACTAAAGAGAGAATTTTTTTTTTTTTTGAAAATATTAGATATGATTTTGCCTAGTCAAATTTAGCTCTTTGCATAACTGAGATTAAAGAAAAAATTGATATAGAGGTTTCGGCATTCTTCATTACCTTTTTTAATTACTTTAGTATTAAATGAAAAAATCATTTTGAGTTTGTTTGAATATAGATGTTGGAGGTGAGTTTGGAATCTAATTGACATTGAAATTGTTATTTTTGATTTTTCAAAACAAAAAAAAAAATTTTATAAAGATATAAGTATATTTGTTTAATCAAAATTTAAAGCTTTTTTTTATTTTACTTAATGAGAAAGATATAAGACGCTCAGTATTTTTTATGTGATAATATATTAGTAATTTTTTTGATGATGGGGACATGGGGATATTGATCATTGGTGAAATTTTATGTATGAGTATATTCATTGTTTTGTACAATGAATTTGTATTTTTTTTGATGATGGGAACATGGGGACATTGATTATCGGTTAAATTTTATTATGAGTAAATAATTTTTTATTTTCAGTATCTGTATACCCTGTTTTGATGAAAATGGTTTGACGTGGAGTGATTGTCTAAAAGAATCGAATGTTTCTCGAGCAAGCGATGAAATTTGGTTGAGAGGTACTTCTTCAGAATACGCACACGCCTGCATCCACACTAGTTGTCGTGCCAGTCAATGTGTGCATAGGGTATGTGTATTCTGAAGAAGAACCCGAGGCGCGAACGTTTGTTTGCACCAGTGAGAGAAACGACTGGAAACCTTCTCAATAGACAGCTTGTTCTGAAGTACATAAATGATTTTTTCGCTTTGAACACGAGTGATAGAAGCTTTGTTATGAAATTTAGGATTTAACGTATCAATATGTTTTTTTAGCAAGTTTATAAAATGTTTCACGTGCAAAATCATTGATAATAGGATGAGAATAAGTTGATTGTTGTAATGTCATTGTTGATATTGCAAAAGAAAATATCAAAAGCTATTTAACAGTCAATGAACTTTGTGTATGAAAATGAAAGAAATTGATAGTTAGATGATATAGAATAATCACGAACAGAGAACGAATTCTGCCTAGTCAAAATTGAATTTGATAGAAGCGCCAAAAAGAAACTAATGTTGCTTGGAATTCAAACTTGCTTGTGACATATGTGTGTTGTTCATGAAGTTTTCTATCTATAAACCGACGAAGAATCAAACAATAAGAAATAGTATCATTGAACAATGATTAGCTTATATGATTTTCTAGAATTGGATAAAATGTGGTATAAAATATTTTTTATTATTATCGCATAGAGAGTAAGAAGGAGTGATTTGCCACAAAAAAGTGAAATTTTACCTTATTTTATTCATAACTTTTTTTTTATTTTAAATGACAGAAAAAAAATTTTGATACAAGAAATGTAGAGAACGTAAGTGTTTTTTATTCAACGGTATTTTTCGTTTCTACAAGCCTGTTTTAGTAGCGTTTTCAAGGTGGTTTTAGTAAGACCTGCTACTGACTTTGTCGAACTATCCCATGCGCAATGAGTTAGCAGTCCCATGTGTTTTTGATAGGTAGGTAATTAAAGCCAATCTTCTAAGGTATTTTAAATCAATTTGTGATAAAAAATATGTCATTGAATGCGGTGTGGGTATGAGTTTTTATTTCTATAACACCCGCACTTTAGCCACTCGCAACAAAGTTTGAAAACAGTGTATTGAAAAAAAGAGAATGCGAGTGTTCAATTGAATTCCAATTTAATATTCTAATCCGAACCAAAATAAATTATTTTTCGTCGATATGTTGTTACCTTTTATTTCTGTATGACAAGCTCACTCTTTAGCTAATGTTCCAAGATTCATTCATGTTCAATAGATTTTTGAAGACCTTGATTTTACTGTGATTGAAGGAAAAAAAAATCTACAATGATATATGCTTGATGATCTGAATTGAATTACTTGATTTAAAATAAGTACACACTACGTAAACCTACTTGTAAGACTCGTTAGTCTTTTTATCTACTCTCTCTCATCAATGGCTGATTCAATGATATCAAAATCACTTTTTACTCTACAGTAAACACAGAACTTGACATTTTGCATTAATAGTCCTTCAAGAATTTTGAACAAACATGTGAAATGTGAGTGTGGAGCGTCAAGATCGAATGAGAATATGAAAATATTCGAATCCATACTTTTAAAGGTCAATCATATCTCGAATTATAATGAATGTTAACAATATCAGATATTAAGTTCATTTTTCTTTTTGAATTATTTTTTTTTCATATAATTAAATGTGATACATATCACGATAAGATTATGATAATCATTACAAAAAACATCCTGAAATTAAAATTACTTAATGATAATTGAGCGTGTATTTTTATTTTTATTTTTAAGTAATTTGCTTTTTTCGGTAATTATGAATTGTTTTGAGATAAAAGTTATACAACAACAACTTAACTTGTGAAAATCAAGAATAATTCAATAAGTTTATTTATGATGATTTACCAGCTTATATTTAATTTTTGTATTATATTGTTAACTTCTTTTTTAAAAAAAAATACTATTTTATAGCATTAACTCTTTGAGAAAAATATTTTCATCAATTGTCTTTATTTCTAGTCTGTAGTTTTATGAAAGGTTTCGAAATGGTAAACTAGTAGAAATCTTTTGGAAGACAAAATGAATGCTATTCACTGTCTAATTATAACTGTTTCAAAATAGAAATAGACAGGTAGTCATTAAGAATCATGAAGTCAATTCAAAACATATTATTAATGATTTTAGCTGTTCATGTAAATATTATTTTCTGTTTGCAAGAACCATCAGAAATATTAGCTGATCATTTTTCGATTATTAACGTAGAAATTAATTTTCATATAAAGAAAATTTCAAAAATTGAAACTATCTGTAATATATTTAATGTACAATGTGTTAAAAAAAACTGTTCTGTGAAACGAGTATGTTAAACATATGTGTTTGACGACTCCCGTAACAAAAACTATCGCGAAAAAATCTTATAGTCTTATTATAATTTGAATAAAGACACACATACGATCAAAAGTGTCACAACGACATATAAATCGCATCATTATTTCTCATAGTAATAAAGAAAGACTTAGATAGACTGAACTTTAAACACTATCTGCTCAGATTTGAAAAAAGAAAAAACTTTTCCTTCGATCGTGAAAAAATTCTCATCTTATAGAAATCGCCTATTTTTTCATCCTTTATTAGTCCCATTATCGTGAGATTAAATCATGATTATTCAAATACAGAGTAGCCTACGCATCGTACTAGGATAACAAAAAAATTTAGTACTTCCGCATCCGTCGAATTAAATGGCTGAACTGTTCAGTGATAAAATGCCATTTAAACTTTCTTTTTCATACATAATTTTCAGTTCTCAAACAGGAAAATAATAACAATAAGTCAACAAGGACTTAAATCAATGAATCTCTATTAATGCAAGTCAAGCAAATTTCTAAAACTAGTTAGTTCAGAAGTCAACGAATAAAAAGCTTCGAATTTTCAAACATGAAAGACTGACTTTTGCAAAAAAAACGTTGATGTTTTAACGCTCTTAATTCTGTATTTTATTTTGAAGACATAAATATTAGAATTTAAACTGACTAGTTCTGAAAAATTGCTCTGTGTACATTAATATCGATTCATTTATAAAGTTTGTTTCGAATTGTTTTTATTAGGGGGTGGGCGTGGGTGTAGATTAGGAAAAGCAAAACATCCACACGCTGCACCCACACCCATTCACACCCCGTCCACACCCACACCCACACCCGCACCCACACCCGCACCCACATCCACACCCGAATTTGCTATCTTTTGGCTCTGATGAACTTGCTAATATTGAATTGTTTGATGGGGAAGATTGGATTTCAGTCGACTCTTGTCTAAGGCGTTTATTTGGATTGCGGTTGTTGTTATTTGGTGTTATTTGTGAGATCTGTATTGAGGGATTTATTGGCTGAAGAGTTTTGGAAGTTTTCTTCAAAAGGGGTTTTGTATTTGTTGTTGATGAATCATTGATCTTTGTCGTCGCTTTTAAGTGATGAATAGGATGAAGAGAACTACGAAAAGATAAGAGAGGATAAAAGAAAGAGAAAGGACCGTGAAATATAGGAGTGTGAATGTATTCATGTATGAGAGATGTAAAGAAGATATGCATCCGATCACCATGGATGCAAACTAACGAATGACTTTAAATAATATAGAAAATATATATGAATGATAAATTAATGCAAATAAACGTGAAAGCGATATCAGAGAACAGAGGAGTAAATAAAGTTGATTATTCAATGTTTGTTGTTCTCAAATGATCATATAGAGTGGAACGGATAGATTCCAACGTAGCTTATATGAATGTTCAGATGTTTAGCGCCGTTGATAAAAACGCACCCAATCGATTTCCATTCGACGAGGAAATATATTGTAATCGATGCCTTGTGCACCACCCCTGAAGAAAACATAGATATATATCACTTCTTGATTTATTTGAGAAGATAATGATAATTTTCTCTGATTCAACACCCTATTGACCTGATGAATAATAGTTCTTTTTCCGTTAATATTCTTTTGAGTATTATCTAAAGAAACATCTTTGTTTCTTTTGCTGACCAGTTCAAAACAATCAATGAGACAAATTAATTCTATGATCTCATCTAAATGTCTTACATTTTATTCGTAGTCTCAAAATTAGTATTCTGAACGACTATTACTGTTTTAAAATGAAGTAAAAACAATCTATATTTCAGCCTATCTGTGTACTACGCAAAATATTCAAATTGTTAATATGTAAGCAAACATAAGACTCAAATTTTTAAAATATTTTTACGCCACTATTGGCTTACTCACCAACTACCACCCACAGCAATATTCATAATAATAAAGAATGGTTTATCGAATGGCCTAAAAAAAGTACAAATTCTTTCTCGTTTTATTCATTTCAACTAGTTTCATAGCGCAAATCGTTATCTTACCATTGTGTCCAATCACCATTTTTATTCCATGTAAAGATATGATGAGCGAATGGATTAGCATCATCACCAGCGTACATTTCAATTTGATCAGGATTCCAATTGAGAGTATAAATTTTAAAATTTGAAACAGCATCACTAACAATAATGGAATGACCTTTTTGAGTGCCTTTTATATGATTATATGCCTGTGTATGCACAGTTGAATGAATACGTAGTGGATCATAGCCAACTTGTTCCATCAAATCTATTTCACCGTTATCTGGCCAATAGACACCGCTGTGTGTTGCCTTTTCGGGTAACTATCGTGAATAATATATATAAAAGCAGAAAGAAAAGAACATTCAATAGATAGTTACCATCCAAAGAGCTGACCATAGACCACGACCGTCAGGTAGTTTGGCACGAATTTGCAAACGACCATATGTCCATTTGATCTTGCTCTTGAGGCGAGCCGACGTAAATTCACAGTTTTCCATTCGTTCCTTAGAAAACATGTGTATGAAAGACAAATTTACTAGAATTACGTTTTCTATGCTTACTCGACGTGCTTCAATAATGAGACGACCATTACTGCTACCTGGAAATAGCTCACAACGTGTATTTTCCTGTCGATTATCTGTGTAAAATTGTTTCTCATTATTACCTAGATTTGCAGTGTATTTACATAATAAATATGAATATGATAGCGATCGAATAAAGTAAAATATATTTACCCCAACCGCTTCCACCGACATCAAATTCCCACTTTGTAGTATCGATTCCACCGTTCCAATTGAAATTATCTTCCCATACAAGAGTCCAATCGGAACTACTAGGCGACCCTAAAGCCCAATATATATAAATCAGCGACAATTCTATACATTTGAATAATTTTATTTATTTGGTCTTCATCTCATCGAACGTCATTTGTATATGAATAGAACAACAAAAGATGTAATAATCGAGTTAGTTCCCATGGGAACAATTTCGTTACTTTTAAATGCTGCGAAACGCGTTAATGCTGACCGGTTTAACGCGTTTCGCAGCTGCTAAATCGGTTAAAAACGCTACGAGACGATACACTTTTCGTTTCCATCCGAGAATTCTGGCTCCGAAACGCGTTTTGAGTAAGCGGGAAAAGGGTTGTATACGTTTCTCACCATGGGAAACGCTCCGAATGCGTTAAATCGGTCAGCATTAACGCGTTTCGCAGTGAATATATCCGAATTTTTTATCCTATGGGTTTTGTTACGGTGAAGGAATCAAACATACATTTTTGATTCTATTTTTCTTTATCTGTTATACTAAGCAGTATAAAGAGACTGTTTGAATAACAAGAGAAAAAACGGAGCCCCATTTTTTATTTAGTTATTTTCTACTGTGTTATCATAATTTGTCGTTTGAGAAAACATGACACTTTTTTTCATCCTTCCTATGTAAGTAGTAGGAATCATTATTATCCAGGAGAGAGGGAAACAAGAGACGAATGGTTGCCTGTTCCACGGCTAATTTTTAACAGTCGAGATAATATACCAATTCTGGAAGATGTCAATCGTTTTATAGAACATTGATAGCTCCTACAGTATATACTGTTTTCACGAATCATTTCATAAGATTCTAGGGATTGATAACGGTCCTCTGAAGTTCTCAAGAGTATCAATATATTGCAAATGCAAGAACAAGCAAACTAAATAAACATTCATGCAACGAACATGTTTCTAGAATATTACTACTCTCTGAAATGCATCAACACTGTCTCTTGATATCCAAATCATTTATGATACTAAGGTTTACAGTGATGAAACTAAAAACAAGTCTGATTTGCTATTTGAGTTATTATTAGAATCGTATCTCTTACCTACTACACCACAGACCATCGTTGGATCCTTGGTTGAAAAAGCATCACTTTTAGAAACTGTACCCGATTTCATCCAGCAAGTACCATCCTTGTATTGAGTCCATGTAAAATGGGTACATCCTGGAGTTCTCGCGCATGTTTCACCACAAAGTTCTCCAGAAGTTCGAGCGTTTGAAAGATCTTTTCCAAAGAAATCACACGACATAGCCCAATTATTTCCATTCCAATTGATGAGACCGTTGACAGGATCAAGTGACAGAATATTTATTGTGATAAATACAATCACGATGAAATGAAATAGAATATTGATCATTTTGTATTTCACTCAAAATGTATAAGTCAATTCTGAAAATAAGATTTCTTTTTCCAATTAGTCACATATATTTTTTCAATCTAATGGGTGTGAGTGTAGCGTATCAGTCTACATTAACATGCTACACCCACACCCTTAATCATACTTATTCATCCTCATGAGGTAGCGAAAGTATTCCAACTAGACTTTGAGACACTGTTAGAAGACACGAAGCTTTTCATCTTCAGCTTCTTGGGCATGCATCTTTTACTATATGTTAATAGTTCGTTACTCATTTTGTAATTAACTAAATATGATACATAACATTCGAAAAGAGAGAACATAAACTAATTTTATGAGACGTATAGGAATAACGAACGAATTGAAGCCAGCTCAAATAATAAGTACATAAGTGTGACATGTGAATCAAGAAGACAATGATCTAACAAATGTGGCTCGATCGATCTTGAAAAACTTCGTCAGCGAAGTATCGCGTTACGTGGACAAGCCGTATTCAATGAGAACATCATATGAGTGATATGTATGAAGTGTTTTACAGACTTATTTCTGATTTTCATTTTATCATTTTAATAAGATACTCACCACAGTGAATTAAATACTAGAGAGTGTGTAAAAATAAGTATATTAATGGCTTGTGAAAATTGTTTTACATGTAATACTATTTGTTTTTCCAATTGAATAATTTCTGTTTTTATACCTATGCAATAAAGCAAATTTATTCATCATATACTGTCTGGGTATATGGTTTTGTTACCTGTATTTTTTTTTCTTGCCCTCCTTACTATTTGCTGCGGCATATGAGTTTTTCTCTATTACTTTTCTCGGCTTACATACTTTTTAATGCATCGATTTAGCCAAAATGCACATAAATAATTGTACAAAATAAAATATGTGGAGATGAATGAATGCTTGTGTGATTTGAATAGAATATGAATATTGCATACGAAATAAAACTAAAAACACAAACAGAGGTTGAGAAAAAATTATTCATGAAGCCTAAATTACCATATTTCATATTCACATAAGTATAAGTACATAAAAACCAAGAAGCCAAATCATTGTGTTGGTTACTCTTATATACGGTTGATATCACAGTACTTGAAACTTACGCAGTTTACCATCATTTACTTTGAAGTTTCTATTGTGCGAAGACATCTAATTTCCTAATTTTTTGCCGATAAGGAGACTGAATGTTTAACAATATCATATATAATTTAGTGTTAACAATAAATACACACGTAAACTTATAAACGTACGTGTCTTTAGATGTTTTGTAATATCATATGTTGAATATAAGCTACATAATTTTAAGTGTTGTAAATTAAATTTGAATAGAGCTAAATTCATGAAAATTTTAGAGTGTGGGTGAGTGTAAGTGTGGACTTTTCTTTTATGAGACCCATACAACACTCACACCCAGGACCACAACATATGGTACTGATTGGAAAAGTGACATGTAACTATGTATGAGAGTTATCGATTTTTTTTTCGTCCGAAGAAAAAATAGAATGCATGAAACGATGTAAAAAAAAACATTTGTGAGCTTTCTATTGATATTCACTTGGATCAAATCATAGGAACGCCAGATAGCGGCACTTCTCGGTGGAGTCTTTTATGTTTCGACTCCGTATATGAAAGATTGCGTGGTTCTGTGGCGAACTCTCTCTTTAGTTTATTTCACAGTAGTAAATATTTTACCAATAGAAGCTCTTTTCTATTCTGTCTATATGAGGAACGAATAACATATATTACTAAACAATTGTGTACGTGCCTGTGATAAACAAATCTTACGTGTTACTTCACTTTTTTATGAAATAATTGTACACTTTTGAAATATTCGATCGACGAACAGCCTCAATATTTTGATTTTTTCATTAGATAGGAAAATTGCTTTAATTGACTTCTAGTAAACGATAGGTGGTCGTCACGAAAAAGATTTCAACGTATTTGCCGTGTTGCTATACTTACAAACGCGGTATTCAATACAGTAATTAGCATAACACTATAAATTCACTCCTTATTTACTTGTATTTATCAGGCATACAGGCGTTCATATATTAAATTCAGATTACACTTCGAATCATCATTCATTTGCGATATAAAGTAATTTTCGACATTGCTCAGATTTCAATCATTAATCTTAATGTGAATGGCTCAAAAGCGACATCATAACGGAACTGTAAAGGTTCGTAGTAGTACGGACATCGCACGCGATTGGCAAGACTATCGTGACCGAATTGGTGATCGATCTGGTCTGTTCAAGCTGCTGATTAACGAATATGAAATTCGTTCTGCTCTTTATGCTGGTTCCTATCTTGATCTGTCGCCGTCTCTTGAAATTGAATGTGTGACATATGTCGACAATGATCGACGGGCAATTAAATTTTTTGCCGATGTTGATGCAGTGGCCAAGGTGATTGAGTCTGAGATCAGCTACTTCTCAAGACCAAACATCCAGTTTATTGGAAGCGACTATTCTAAACCATTACCTATGGAAGATAACAGCGTCGATCTGTTGATATCTCTATGCGCTGGTTTTATCTGGGAACCATGCCATCGTTACCTGAAACCAGGTGGTTACTTTCTCGTTAATAACAGCCATGGTGATGCAGGCATCGCATCACTTGATGAGCGACTACAGCTTGTTGCTGTACTCAAGCACGAAAACGGTCGATATTCCTTGTCTAAAAAAGATCTTGGCAATTATATTACTTCTAAGACTGGCCGGACACCAACATTAGACGAACAACGCAAGTCTGGTCGAGGCATCATCTATAGCAAGTCCGCTTTTGCTTATATTTTCCGATTGATCTGAGCAACTCCATGAAGGATATCTATCATCATCCTAAATGAATACAAACGAGTCACCTGAAGAATAATTGTTTTAATTCAGTTGCTTTCTATATTTGTTATTTACGTTTTTTATATGGTGAGTGAAACAGCAGCTTATAGCTTGTTGCTCAAAAACCTAACTGAACCTGAAAAAAGCGCAAAAAGAAGTTTTCATTGAAGTTAAACTAAGATGAACTGAAATTACAGATAAGTATATAGTAGAAATCAAGTTGTCAAAATTAATTTATCTTCAATATCTAGATTTTGAACAGAATAACTCATACTGTTTATAACTGCTTTTGCTTGGCAGGTAGAAATTCAGGTACACGAACTTCAAATCCTACTTCCTCAAGCGACTCTATCAAAAACCATAATAATGCACAATATATCGAAGGCCAAATCATTTTATTACTAACTGAAGATGTTCAAAAAGAGATAATTGTTGATATAGTCGCTAAAGAGACAAAAACAGTTTCATGTAGCGCGTATTTCACTCAAAAAACAGAATGTGTACATTTCTAGTATCATAAACGATCTCATCCGAAAACTACTGAAAGACCTACAGAAAAATTAATCAAAAGAACGACAGGTCAACAAGCTCATCATCTTTATTCTAGATTTTTTTCGGTGTGAATTAAAAAAACAAATTGTTTCCATGGACTCATTGTAATCTTCTATGAAATGTACAAATTTTACACATATACGTTGGTTATATCTGTGTAAAAAAAATGCTTAGCTAAAATGGACAAATGTAATGTGTGTATGGTTAAAAGATGATGCATTAGGTTCTATTGATAGTTTTTATATATGACTGACTTTTATTTATCTGATTATTGTAAAAGAAAAACCATGTCATTAGAACTAGTGATTGCATACCATTATAAAAGAATTACTCATTGTAAGTATTAGATACTTTTATACATTTCATTCGATTTTTTTTCAATATATTGTATTTATTGATGTTCAGCATAAATCATGTCGCTGGAAGGCATCTTAAAGTGTTATGCTCTTTTATATGCTATATAATTAGTTTTTTTTTCAAAAAGATGATTATACCCAGTCGATAACATTCGGTTGTAGCTGTTGCCGCAAAATAAATTGCTTTGTTGGTGCTTGTGAATTGCTCATGTATCATCCTCTTCGTCAAAAAGTGAAAGAATAGCTAGAATTTGAAGCACTGCTGTACGCTAATAAACAACATATTCCCTATCCATGTTGTTTCTGGTATCTCGTTCGTTTACACATGTATAACAAATATCTTGTTTGTTCGCTCACAACTACCATTTATAAGTACGAAATGCTTAATCGGTTTTTATTTTAAAGATGAATGAATAATTCTGTTTCAATCAGTTTGAGATCAATGTGGAACCAATAACGGAAGAATGTTCAGTTTTTCAAAGCAACATATTATCAACATCAATGAAAGTTAACATAGATAGAAATAGTTCATGAATTGTATTTGAATTTTTCATTGTCTCTTTCACTAGTGCTAACAGAAACCAAAATTACTTTATTTTTGTTGTATCAACTAACATGTTCGAAAAGATACGCCTAGTACTTTTCTATTCCCAGCAATAAAGAGAGACATAAGCCAATCGGTTGAGCTATCGATGCTGATGCTGACAGCATTTAGACGATTCTTTATCAGTGATGTACAAACCTATTGCAAGTTATCGAGGCGTAAGATTAGTTTTTAGAAATGCTCTAATTTAATCTCTGATCATTACAGTGGCTATAATCGATACAAATATTCGTGGACTTCCGCAACTGTATTTAAAGGAAAATTTTCTTTCTGGTCCTCACAGACCAATTTTGGACGCGAAAGCCTTTTTGCTGAAAATCACACGCTTTGCTACAAATTTGTGACGTGAATTCCGAATATCGTATTTATATTGCTTTAGCATTATTCTACGGCAATGAATACCACTAAAAGTTTTCATTTTCTATTGGGAAATCATCAGAAATGAGGAAAGTGTACGGTCTATGTCGTACCGATTCTAAGTTATTTTTTTTTAACAGTGTCTTACTAATTTGCAGAGAAGAAAAACTGCATAACATATGTAGGGTGTGGGTGGGTGTTGGTGCCTGTCTTCTCTTCACTCACACACCCATACTCATACTCACCCGAAAACAAATGAAAAGTCTTTGACATATATTGAAGAAATCTT